GCCGTCATATCACCATGGCCCCCATTGCCACTGCTGAACCAGCTCAGGACGTCGCTGCAAGTGCAGCAGCCAAGCTGAGTCAGCTCGGTCTGGACGATCCCAAGTACCGTCAGTACTCACAATTCGAACATCATGATAAGTCCTACTTGAAGTCGGACGATGGCTACAAATACAACGACTTCAAGCCAACGTTTCCCAACAAAGACTGGGCCGCGCTCGAGCCACACACACCTGCTCGCGACCGTGGACTGTTCGCTGACAAGGAGAAGAAGGCCTTGCTTGGCGCTGCCAAGGAAGTACGCAATGTCACAAAGACCATTGGCACCGAACTCGTCGGTGTTAAGCTCAACTCCTTGAACGACCAGCAAAAGGACGAGCTTGCTTTGCTCATCGCCGAGCGAGGCGTGGTCTTCTTCCGCGACCAGGAGGACTGGACCATCGAGCAGCAACTCGAGTTCGGCCGCTACTACGGCAAGCTTCACAAGCATGCCACCACTGGTGTGCCTGCTCGTGGAGACCTCGACGAGGTCCACGTGGTTTACAGTCACCCAGACGACAACAAGAGCGAGAAGGTCTACAGCGGCGTGAGTGCTCCCCAGCGACGAAAGCGAGCTACCCCCTTCCAAAATCTAACGTCGAATGTACTCGATGTGTGACCTCGTAGCCACTGTCGCACTCCACTGAAAGACTTTGGCACAGCGATGTCACGTACGAGCTCAACCCACCTTCATACACCAGCTTCAAACTGTACAGCTCTCCCGAGGCTGGCGGTGACACTTTGTGGTCTAATCAATATGCAGCGTACGACAGGCTGTCGTACCCTATGCGCCAGTACCTGGAGCAGCTGTCCGCAGTCCACTCTGCCGTCGAGCAGGCGGAAGGTGCGAAGAAGGGCGGCAACTACGTCCGTCGCGAGCCAATCCAGACCACTCATCCTCTCGTTCGCGTCCACCCCGTAACTGGCTGGAAGTCCCTGTTCTTCAACGCTGGATTTGTGCGCTACATCGCCGGCGTGCCCCAAGCCGAGTCCGAATGGTTGGTCGCTTTCTTGACTCGTCACGTGGCGACCGCGTCAGACTTTATGGTGCGCTTCAAGTACAACGAGAACGACGTTGCTTTCTGGGACAACCGCGTTTGCGACCACAGTGCCGTCTTTGAGGACATCAACGTCAGTCGCCGTCATGCGCTTCGCGTCGCTGCGACCGGAGAGCAGCCCATTCCTGTCTCCCAATTCCCCCACGCAAAGTCTCGCGAGGAGGAGATCTATAGGGCTAGAGGTTACAAGATTCAACCGTCTCTCAGCGCAGTCCAGGCTGTTGGTTACAAAGACTGAGAGTGGGCTTTTATGTGCATAAAACTTCTCGCAGCCTTCGACATCTACGTAACGCAAATGAATGTAATCACTGTATTCAACGCTGCGACTGTCATCGACTTGAGCTCATCGGCTGGGACTGAAAGAATGGTCTGACACCTTTCCGACTTGGACGAAATTGCTTTTGCCATGCAAGATCGTTGGAGGAACGACGCGAATCCAACCCAAGAACGTCACGTGTGGAGCGAGGACACGCAGGAGGCGGACACTTTCGAGGGCCCGCTTCAAGCGAAATGTGTTGGAATACAAAGCTGCTTCTGGCGCAGCTCAATGGCAACAGTGCTGCCTCCTTCACGGAAGGCCAAACATCTCTCCAGCGCCATTTTAGGTCATCCGGACACACACGATGCGCACCCATCGTACCACTATGCGTGTAGAGCTCGGCGA